AGGCGCGGTGGGCAATTGGAGCAGCTCTGCCCCCAGTTTCCCGAAGTCAGCCACTGGTCAGTCTCAGCAGCGGCTGACTTGGGGACGTCTGGGGCAGAGCAGCTGGGGTGCTGCTGGGTTGCTCCAGTAGCGCCGCTCCTCGGTCTGGGCTGTCCCGCTGCCCGCGTGCTCCGCGGCTTTGCTCAGCATCTCCCAGCAGACCAGGGAGCCGCGGAGCAGCTTTTCTCGCCCCGGAGGATGCGGGCGGCGGGACCGCGGTTCATCTGGGCGTCCCGCCGCTCCCGTCCTCCATGGCGAGAAAAACCCCGTTCGTAACTGCGGATCCGACATAAGTCGGATCCGCGTAACTCGGGGACTGCCTGTACTATTCTGATTCTTTTGAGGGAAATCTTTGATTTCAGATTATAGTACAATTTGGAGGGTTAAAAATTACCCATGTGTCTGTCAGTGCAGAAATTTGAACAGGCGCCAATCCCATCTTTTAGAAGATGTTAGCTTCGAAAGGGATGATTATGATCATTTTCTTGATGCAGTGGCATGTTCAGCTTCAACTACTTATTTCAAATGTATAATTTAGGTATATCATGTTTACTAGGTGATTTCCTCTTTTTATTTACAGTGATAACACAATACAAGTAGCTAGCTTTCAGGTTTCTTGTACCCCTCACCCCTTTTTTTGTTAAATCATAGACTACTCTGCTGATGGTTATTTTTAGCTTTTCCGTGCAGTATTTGTAAAATAACCTATTTCTACAAATGATTTAGTGTGTTTCTGGTTTTAGAAACTAATCCCACTCCTAGATTAACAGTTCAGAAATTACTTGGAGCTACTTTCGTCGTCTTTTTTATAAGTTTAGTTCAGCCTTTGCTCCTTGCTTTTATTCCTTCTTTTACAAACTTCTCAGTTTGTTTCCCATCTTTGCCTCTTCCTGACACCTCATTTTTTTCTTTTTCTACTCCTTGCTTTTTTTCTTAGATGTTGTTAAAGTTCTCTTTTGGACTGCTTTACCCATTGAAGCCAATTTTGTTGTTGAAAGGCCTGCCTTTGGGATAGTTTTTCAGACTCTTCATGCAACTCGGTTCATTTAAATAGTATTTCTGCAGTTAAAATGTTGGAGCAACTAGAAAATCATACAACTTGCAATTTTGCTGGCAACAAACTCCTGAATGGCACCATTAAGTCTGAATTTCCCATGAATGCAAAGTTAAAAGAAGTACAGTACAGTAAAGATAAATTAAAATTATTCATTGCTTAAACGAGTCTGAAATAAGTTTGCACAGGCAGAATTTTCTACAAGAAGATACAAATGATTCAGTTGGTGTTCAACTTATACATTTATTTCATAAACAATTATGTTAAGTGGTTTGTACCAACATTCCTCAGTCATTTGTACATTGAAATTAGAATTTTAATTTTGTGTGTGTCACATAATTACTTGCTGTAAGATAGCCAGTGCATTGTACTCTCTGGGTAAAAACCTCCCAGTGTAAATTCACATAGCTCCATTAAGACAGTTTATATCGGGTAAGGATGTGCCGTTTACATTTAATTTTATAGATTCACTAGGAGTCGCTTATATAATAGAGAAAAGGCAATTAATGGCAAGCAGGAGCTTGTAGAGTTTGAGATTTTAAAAAGGATATTAAAATTGAAGTCAATTTAATTGTGTGTATGTCAGATTTGTTTTAATTTTTGCCATTTCCCTTTGAGCATTTCTGTAAATGCTGTCCCTTCATACATTCTCAACATCTTTCTGAAGGTACATATGTTACATTATTTGTGTAACTGAGATTAAATGAAAGGGTGGTGTAAACTCTAATATGATATGTGCACACATTCCCCTGTGCTTCCAGAGTTTTTTAATATCTTTTGTCTTTAATTTTTTAGAAGTTACATTTCTAAAAAAGCAGTACTCATAGATAAGTCGTTAGTACTTTGCTAATCATGAGTAGGGCTTTCTAGTGTACTTCCTTTATATCCAGACTTTTTAATACAATTAACTGTTGTAAACTGACTATAAATAGTAACAGTTCAGTGACTGTAAATATTGTAAACTTTTTTATATTACTATTTAAACTTGTATTTCCAAAATCTTGGAAATACAGTCAGTTAGCAATTTAAAATACCTTATTCATTTTGTGTTGCCATTCCAGTTTGTCTTTGTTTCTTTCAGCAATAAAAAATGAAAATCTAATCTTGGAAAGAATACAATCTTATTTTTCCCTTAAAATATGAATGATCTTGAAATAAAGACTATGAAAGTGCAGAAACCATGCAAGATTAAGATGAGGAAAAATGTGCAGTAGAATAGAATAATCAAGCAATCATATGTAGGTGGTAATGTCTGTGATATTCTGTTTTCAGGATTGATGCATGTGAACCTACGTAAATGACATAGCCTGGAATTTGACAAAGTAAACAATATCCTATTCCAGTATCCCTCAAAGGTCTGCGAGCCTGTTTTGGGAAAGCCACTAACGGGCCTGCGCTGCTTTGTTTACCTAAAGGGTTGGTAGCCAATGACCCTCATTGCTCCCATTGGCTCTGGGTCACGATTTCCAGCCACGGGGAGCTGCAGGAAGCAGCATTGGGCCATGTGGTTCCCCTTGGCTGAGTTGGAGCCAGTGGGAGTTGTGAGGCTCTGTGGCTGCAGACCCTTTAGGTTAAAAAAAAAAACCATCTCAGTTCCACTAGTGGCTTTCCCAAAGCGGGCCCACGACCCATTTTGAGAAACACTGTTTTCTAATAGTAAAGCCATCTTTTACTGAAGCATAAGATCCACAAGAAAAATCTCATTTCCTGACACAATTATGTAATCTTCAGCTGGCAAAAATATACCTTCTTGTTTGATAGTGCCCATTTAAAATGGTTTTGTATTTCTAAGTAATAGTATAGTAGGGGACTATGGCCTCTGCTCGCCAGCCCACCTCTCTCTGAGGTTAGGCAGCCCTGGTTTTCCCCCCTACCTCCCCAGCCACTGGGGATGGCTGAGCCAAGGCGTGGCAACCCCGGCCTGCCCCTGAGCCCTCCTCCTCTCTCCCCCCCTCTTGCCCACCAAGCCAATGCAGGGCCAGTTCCCTCCCCTCCCCTGGCTTCCCCGGGGGGTGGGGGAGGAGGGTGATGCCAAGGCTCAGCCAGCCCTGGCTCTCTTTCCTCCCCCGCCCCCCGAGCCACCAGGGGGGCATTGGGGCCTGAGCCATGGTGCGCCAGCCCTATCTCTCATCCCTTGAGCACCAGGGAGTGGGGAGGTAGGAAGGAGGCAGGCTGGGCACAGAGTGACATGATGATGTTACTCTGTTGTCCCGTAGGAATTTTTTAAATATATTTATAGAGCAAGAGAGAATATTTGGAAAAATAGTCCAGCCTGGAGTTTGACAGTCATTATTAAAAACACCATTGGCTGCACCTCCCCTTTGTTTATAGGTTATTGCTGTCTCTTGCATCATGTATGGCCTGTTTTGGACTATGGCTTCTTATTTGCACTTTTTGACAGGTTGTGGATTACCTTTGGCTGGTATCACCAGTCTTCCCCTCCCCCCCAAAAAATAAAAGCACTTTTGCATTACTGGTCAGTAAGGCTCAAGTCCCTTCCTTTGGCTTTTATATAATTCTGTGTCTTCTTTGTTTTTGTTTGTTTATGAGTATCCATGAATCAATTTCACAGATTTGTATATTGAAGAATTTTCAGAGAATTCACATGCAAATCTGAACTTTAGCACTCTGGACCATCTTTCTTTAAGGTCTAAATTCTATATATTTCTACTTATTTTTCTGGGGGATCTTTTTATACTCATGTTGTAATGGAAGAATTCAAAACTTGTTCCCATTCAGGAGACGTGATCAATATGATTTTCAGAATTTCTCTAATTTGTCAGCAGAGTTTTAACCGAATAACAAAGAGAACACATCTTAGGTAGTTATTCAGTTAGGTGTATTAGTAGACTAAAATAAAGTTTAAGAGAACATTGCAGAATATTTTATTGTAATCATTCACTTTGGTAATTTGCTTGTAAATATGGTAATATCCTAGTTGTGGTTTTCAAACTGGTATAGTTAAACTTGTACAACTTTGTGTGCAGTCTTATCTTAGTTTAAATCTGGTTTGTATTGATTTAGCTTGGGCCTTTAATGTATAGCCAAGTTTGTACCAATTTAAATCTGTTTCTAAAACTGTTTTAAGTTAAACCAGTGAAACTTGTGTGTGTCAAGAAATCTTAATTTTTAATCAAATGTCTAAGTAATACTAATTTAATCTTAACTGTTCAGGATGAAAAACCAGGCTGTTGTGAGGGATCTCTTCTAGGGATGTGGATTGGTGAAGATGCTATTCCTTGTACACCTGGGATAGTAAAAGTGCGAACTAGAACAAAATTAAATGGTACAAGGTAAAGTTCAAATTAACTTTTGCTTACACACCAAATAAGTTTCGCTTTCATGTAAGGGAAGCAGTATTTCATTGAATACATGAATGTATTGTATTCAAGAATACATTCTGTACATTAGCAGAGTTAATACACGGTAATGCTTTCACCCTTTACTTTGTAATCTTTTAAAATGGGATGATTATTGGTTGCAGCATACCTTGATAGTTATGTTGTGTGCTTGTTTAGAGGTTTTTATATAAATGTTTGTTAAAGTAGAGATTAAACTGGTTACGCTTTGCAAAGTATTATTCAGCGTTCCTGATTTTTTGTTTTGTTTTTGCATTTAGAGATAATAAAGCAAAAAATACTGAAGAGGAACTGATGAAGTTGGCTAAACAATTTGATAAAAACCTGATTCAGCCAGATTTAGTCCAGGAGCAGGACGATCGATGTGATGGTTTTATGCAGACTATTTCAGAGGCAGAGACTGAAAATAATTATAAAGATGGTGCACAGCTGAAAAATCTGCAGTCATTCCTTGATGAAAATTCTGAAAAAGATACTGTTCTGTCCTTGGAGCCTGTTACAGAGCATA